GGGAGGTGGGGAGGAAACTAAAATTCGGTAGAGGAAGTGTGAGGCATACGCAGGGAAGGAAAGTGCACCTCTGCTCCTCCTCCTCATCCTCCTCCTCCTACTCATCCTCCTCCTTCGCCTCCTCCTCCTCCGCCTCCCCCTCCTCTCCCTCCCTGAACGTATCCTCTCCATCTGCCTCTCAATTAACACCTTGTCTGCATGTATGACACTCACATTCCTCAACACCATTAACAAACACCATACCCGACACCCTGATCGGAAAGACCCTCCTCACTACCAGCAAGATTCTCGTAATCCTAACGAGAGCGATCAAGACCACGGACGGCATCACCATGATCGTCGTCGTCATAATCCTCCTCGTCACCACCACCATCCTAAGCAGCAGCACCGTCACCATCAACGACAGCGGTATCATCAGTACCATCAACATCATCATCAGAATCATAATCATCAGCATCATCAACATCATCATCACCATCATAATCGTCATCAGCATCAGCCACACCATGGTCATCATCGTCATCATCATCAGTAGCATCGTCATCATCAGCATAATCAGCATCATCAGCATCAGCATCGACATGATCGTCGGCATCAGCATCAGCAGCATCAGCATCATCATCATCAACATCATCATCATCATCATGATCATCATCATCATCATCATCATCATCATCATCATCATCATCATCATCATTAGCATCATCAGCAGTAGCATCAGTATCATCAACATCAGCATCAACAGCATCAGCATCATCCGCATAATCGTCACCGTCGACGTTGTCGTCAGAAAGTCAAGGTCATTGCAGTCGTCACGAACACCATCACCATACTCAGAAGCATCATCACCGGCAGCAACATTAGCAGTGGTATCCGCATCACCAGAATCGTCACAGTCGTCGTCGGCGGCGGCGGCGACGTCGCCGTGATGAGCATACTAGCAGTCGAAGCCATCGCAGTCGTCACAAAAATCATCACCATATTCAGAAGTAACATCCTCATCATCATCAACAACAGCATCAACATCATCAGTAGCATCAGCATCATCATCATCACCCGCCTCCTCATCATGACCCTACCAGCATCCACCTCCTCCTGCTCCTCTTCGTGATCATCCTTATGCCCCTGGTTGTGCTCCTCGCTCCTCCCCAGCACGGGGCGTGGCCTCGTTGAAATTCTGAACCCATGCGAGCAGAAGGAAAAGACAGCTCCGAACACTTCGCTCGAAGAGGGCTGTCCGATCTGAGCCCCCAGGCGCAGCGCTCGTAGGGCTTCGCAAGGGACCTCCCGAGCCACGTCCTCATCCTCCTCCTCCTCCTCCTCCTCCTCCTCCTTCTCATCCTCCTCATACTCCTCCTCCTCCTCCTCCTCCTCAACCTCCTCCCCCCCCCTCTTCCTCCTCCTCCTCCTCCTCCTCCTCCTCCTTCTCCTCCTCCTCCTCCTCCTCCTCCTCCTCCTCGTCCCCCTCCTCTTCCTCATACTCCTTCTTACCCTCCTCTTCTTCCTCAGCATCAGCATCATCATCGTCATCATGCTCCTCCTCATCCTCCTCGATTTCATCATGATCATGATCATCATGATCAGCATAATCATTTTCAGCAGCAGCAGCAGCAGCGTCATCAGCATCATCATCATCATCATCATCATCATCATCATCATCATCATCATCATCATCATCATCATCAGCATCATCAGCATCAACATCATCTTTGTCGTCGTCGTCGTCAGCATCATCAGCATCATCACCATCATCACCAGCAGCATCATCATCAGAATCAGCATCATTATCATCATCATGGGGATCATCATCCTCAGCAGCAACATCATTATCATCAGCATCGTCGTCGTCAACGTCATCGTCGTCATCATCATGATCGTCATGATTATCAGCATCATCAGCAGCAGCATCATCATCCTCATCATCATCGTCATCGTTGTCCTCATCCTCATCCTCATCATCATCCTCCTGATTATCCTCATCGTCCTCACCATCCTCATCATCATCACCATCATCATCATCATCAGCAGCAGCATCATCAGACTCCTCATCCGCAGCGTCATCATCATCATCATCATCATCAGGAGAAGCAGCAGCAGCAGCATCAAGACCAGCATCATCATCATCATCATCATCATCATCATCATCAGCAGCAGCATCATCATCATCATCATCATCATCATCGGCATCACCACCACCATCATCATCATCATCATCATCATCATCATCATCAGCAGCAGCAGCAGCAGCAGCAGCACCAGCATCCCTCTCCCACTCTCCCCCAATCCCCTCCGCTCCCCCAATCTCCGCCGCCGTGATTTGCTCAATGCGCCGCCCCGGAGGTCCACACCCCTTCTTCTAAAGCAGCTCCTTGTCCCGGATCCATGCTGAATGGCCCCGCGGGCCGCCAGAGGGGCCCCGCGGGCCGCCAGAGGGGCCCCGCCGGCCGAAATCACAGACAGGCGACGGGATCGAACAGAAAACAGCTCGTGTCGGAGAGCTGGACCCTCGGCAGCCCCGAGGAGCGCTGCGCCCCGCGCCCGAGAGGCCTCCCTCGCGTGCTCACGAGCAGAGTACCGAGCCTGCCTGTTCCTTCTGCCGAGCGTGCTCGGCGACAACTCACGGGAGCCTCCCGTACCATCTTGTCGGCTCTTCCGAATCGACGCGAATCGACGCTAACCGACGCTAGCCGGCGCCGAGTCGACATCACATCGACGCTTTCTCATCGAGTACCAGGCTCTAGCACACGCTAAAGCTCTCTGGAGACGGAATTGCGAGGACATACAAGGTTCCCATGATTTGCTACCGAGAATGTGTATCTCGTGCCGTCTCCGCCAGAGGCCATCCGGGCAGCCGCGGCGATGCAGCGCAGACGCGCTGGCCGGGCAGCTGCCCTGGGCCCGAGTAACGGAGGGCAGTACGAGGGATGAGCCAGGTGCTCCAACACTGCGTTCACCACACGTTTGGCCGAGACGCGCGCGCCGCGACATGCGCTACCCCTGCTTCTGCACGTGGCCTGATTCGCGCCAGTGAAATCTCTGTGAGCGCAGGGACGTGCCGTTAAATAATGCCGCCGAGGCTGAGTACAAGCAGTTGGTGATGGCGCTCCTGCTGGTGCCCCTATACCCACTAAATCTGCCACTGCCGCTGCCACTACCGCCGCCGTTGCTGCTGATTTCGCTCGCGCCCACGATCGTGCTCGTGCTTCTGTTCGTAATGTTGCTTCTGCTCGCTCTCATAATCGCGCTCTCACTACGCTGTAGGAGATTATCGTGATCGTGTTCGCGGTATCGCCTTTGTGCTGCACATGAACATCATCCCACCTAGACTTGCAATCCTTGACTACACGGTCCTGACGCACTACTGCAATGAAGAGACACAATGGCTTAACGGTTATACCAAGCCCAGTGCTATTAAATTAAGTTGGCACAAATATCAGGGTTGATAGGATGAACCCTTGCGACCCCAGCGTCGCTTCACCATTTCTGATCCGGAAGGTCCTACAGAGTCAGAAACGCCGTCACCAGTTTTAGACCTCGATGAAGTTTTGCCGCCGCCCTTGCCCTTCCGCGGCTGGCCCTGTAAGTTCTCTAGTTTGCCGCCTCGTGTCGACGCAAACCAAGTGGGAGCGGCGTCCCTCGCTGACGCACTGCCCTCCAGAGTAGCCTTGCTCGGTGTCTCAGGTGGCAGCGGGTAGTCTGCACCAATTCGTATCTGGGCAGCCTTTTGCTCTGCCGCTGTCATGATCCAGGGGGCATGAACGCATCGATTTGGAACATTACGGAGCTCAGGCAACCAGAGCCGTACGTAGTCACCTTTAGGATCAAAGCGATCACGCTCCTCGGCTAGATTGAACCAGCGACTTCCACCATTACCAAATCCTTGACCAGACACACCAGCAGCTCGCATCCAATTGCCCCAATTCGCGCATACATCGTAGTCAATGAGCAGCGATTCAAAGAGCTCTGCACCGATTCTCCAATCCAGCTTCAGTTCTAGAACAACGTAGGATGCAACAAATTGGCGCGCACGATTCGACATAAAACCCGACGTGGCCATCTCTCTGATTGCTGCGTCAACCAGAGGAATCCCAATTGTTCCGTGGAACAGCTTCTGCACGAGGCTCTTCTCGCGCACCCACGGCAACTCAACCCCGCTGGGACCTCGAAGCTTGAACAGGCTGGCACCACACTTCATTGCCAGGAAGATCAAGAAATCACGCCAGCCAAATTCTGAAGCAAAGTGTGCAGAACTTGGTGTCGGCCGCCCTCTCTGACAACGAAGCTCCCACTGCCGGACTGCCGTGACCGCCCGACGAGGCGACAAGCAGCCTGCCGCCATCCACGGGGACAACTTCGAGCTGAAGCAGAGACCGAAGATCGGCGGCACACCCACGGGGGGGAGGCAGAGGGGGCAGGCCTTCTCAGAAGGCTCCGAAGGCCTCTGGCCTTCTGCAAAGCTTTCCAGACCTTCTCCGATGCCACAGGAAACTTGTCAAAAGGCTGAAGGGTTGCTAAGAAGCCCTGCCGCCTTTTTGAAGGCCTGCCCAGTCTCGCTTCCCCCTCGGCACGCCGCCGAGATGAGACCATTGCGGGTATCCTTGTACCTGGCCAAATCCTTTTCTATGAAGCTCTCAAGTCGTCGGAGGCCCGAACTCTCACCCCCAATGAAAACAGTTTCCCACCATGACTGTGCCGTCCCGGGCCCTTGCCCTGCATAGATTGCACCATCGGTGCCAGCAGGCTGTGGCCACACGCTCGATACTTCTGACGCAGATAATATCTGCAGGCACATGGGGACTGCTGGAAGACATGTGGGGGCATTTACTTCCTGGCGGATGGTCGTTCCCCTCTCCCCGTGCTGTGTGGCAGCAACCGCAGCGGTGTCCGCCGCACGAAAATTGCCGCGAACTGCCCTGCCGAACGGCGCAAAGACCATGGGGAAATCCTGGCGGATGCTTCGATACGGCAAGTCCTCGACGTGATACAGCGACAGGCCCCAG